GTTTTAAACTGTAGTCCACAGTCCACAATCTATGAAAAACAAATCAAAACTATCTGACCTGTTTAATACTATAGCCTTTGTTTTACTAGTGAAAGACTTCATCAATTTGTCAGGGTCCAAGGTCCATTGAGGTGGATCAAGTGCCACATATACCTGCAATGTCCAATTTTCTTTTCAATTAACAGAGTCGATAACTATCAATTCTAACAGGAAATCCTTAGCATTTACACTCAAACGTATGACTAATATTCTTAAACCTCAGCTCTCACTAATTGATAATTAAAAGCTTACAGGAATTCCTCCAGCCATGGTTATGCATCCTTCATATGTTTCATAACAAGGGTCAAACAACACAACTTCATCTCCCTGGTCTGTAACTGTTCAGACAGAACCATAGTTTACAATTATTTACAAACTGAACCAAGAAAAGAAATAAGAAAGTCATTAATTGCAAGTTAACATGAAAACGTACCGGCAAAAATTGCTGCTGCAAATGCCTCGGTTTGTCCACAGCAAATAGCTATATCCGTCAAAGGGTCAACGTTTAAACCATGCATTCTCTTCATTATAAAAGCCAACTGATCACAAATTCCTTGCACGTGCCTTCCATGACCAAAAGTTGCTAAAATCGATTCCATTTCGTTCGAAAAATAAATCCAAGTACCAAAAAAAAAAAAAAGAACAAACCTGTACTGGTTGAAGTCAGAATTAATGGCGGAAACGGCAGCATCTTTGATATAAGGAGGAGCAGGGAAGTCAGGGAAGCCCTCAGCAAGGTTAATGGCGTTGCATCTCTGAGCAAGGTGTGAGAGTTCTTGTATAGGAGAAGGAGTAAACTTCTTTGCAACGGAGGATAGTTTCCCTTCCATGGCTCTTGTATACGAGCTGCAGGGTGGGTTTCTGGTATAAAAACATTGTTTCAGTGGCACGGTGTTGCTTTAACGAGGTCCCCACGAATTAAAACTTTTTATCATGCGGATAGGTCCGGTCACCGCCCTCATAGGTATAATGGGTATTGCACTATTTTTGCTTTAAATATTTCAAAGGGTATTTGCCATAAAATTCAATTATTGACATCTTTTTTCTTCCTCCATGATAATTTTTAAGTCAGTAGTGACAATTATTTGCCTCGTCTCCTCTTGCATGTGATGTGTATGCATACAATTACTTTTGTAACTCAAAATGACTTTCTTTTGTTGAAAAGAGGAATCTT